AAATATAATATTTATTTGTGTATAATATATATTGTAAATTTTAATTACATATAATAAATATTTAATTTATATATTACACGTACTAAAATACTAGCTTTACTTTTAAATTAAAATTAAAAATATTATTTTTTTATGTTTAGTTTATAATTTAACAAATTGTTCTAATGAGTGTAAGCAAAAATCTTATATTCTTGAATTAAAATAAATATTTTATTATGATTAAAGTATCAAGTCATCTTAATTTATTTGGTTAATATAGTAAAAAAATTGTTTCATAAATTATATTTGTAAATATTTTTAAAGAATTTAATTATGATATCTTTGATTTTCGAGTAAAAATAAACATTTACAAGATTTATGATTTTCACAATGTATAATTCTCAAATATGGAGAAAAAAAATTTATAGCAAATACGCTCTATGTGAAAAACATGTATAATGGATAGTAGGGCACAAGAAAGGATAAACTTTATTGACAAATGGGATCTCAACAACGACATTAAATGTGATATTTTTGGTTATATTAGTTGTGAAATGGATAAAATGTTACAATACTTAGATTTCAACTTATTAAAGGAATTTCAACCAAATAAGACTTTTGATACTAATGATCCACGACCTTAGGATGAATAAAAATTTCATGACATTTGTAAATCTCTATAACAAATATTTTCTCCAATTTTGAATAAAAGCACAAAAAAATTATTTGTTTCATGATAACTACAAAATTTAGTTTACATTAATTAATTTTACTAATCCAATTAAAAATATAATTTTTTCCTAAATTATACTTCCTTATATTAAGAATAGAAAAAAAATAAAACTACAATTTCAAATAAATGAAGGAATATTTTGAAATTAATTAATATTTGCTTATATTTGAGACCAATAAATATAAAACTTGTTTTCTTATATTGAAAATCGAAGAGAGTATTTAATTGAGACTTACTACTCTTTTTTACTCCAGTTTTTATGGTTTAAATGAGTGGGCTTTCTCTAACATGGAAAAATGAATTGCATATATCAATAATTAGAGTTAGTCTTTAATTTAACTAGGTTTAGGTTAAGTGGTTGCCCTCTGTCACGTCTTGGACAAAAAAGAAAGTAAATTGTTCCAAAGATAAAACAATTTATTTGAATGAGACCATCCAGTGGGGAGCTTAACTCGAGTTGTGCATTTAATTGCTATACTATAATTTTAAGTTAGGGTGGTGAATGATATCAAATTGCTTATGTTATAAATGGAGATGTTACTATCCTATCTTTTTGTTTCCTTATTTTTATAGTAATACAATTTAGTTTATTTATGTTATTGGACATTTGTGATTTTAGTTTCCTATAATATATCCGCTTGTGAGACTGTTAATTGATTTAATTATTGAAATTAATAATTCAAACAGTGATTCTATGTTATTCTATTTATATATCACTTTTTTTTTTTTCATACCAGCCACTTTTACATTTTGTTTCGTACATGGGAAATTGAAGGAAGAGCATGGAAAGGTACAAATTCCCATGTTTGATATTCGAGCAGTGAAGCAAATCTTAAATAAAAAAATTATTAAAAAAAACCATAAACAAACAAACTTACTTTGAGCATGTTTGGATTTCTGTTTGAGTGAAATAGGACAATCCTGATTTCCTAAGAAAAATAAAATATTTTTAGGTAAACTTACATTCACATTTTGATAAATACTTATATAAACATAAGCTTTTACATCAGTATGTGAAGATTAAAAATAATTATTTATTTTTAATATTAATTTTTATATATTAAATATGAATTTTTATTTTATATAAAAAAATTTTTAGAAATTTTTTTCAATAAA